GAGCAAGAGAAAGAGGGCAGAGTAAAGTAGATAAGAGGAAGGTAACAGAACAGCAGAAGAAGCAGGAAAATAAAGCAAGTGAAGAAAAAGGCAAAGAGCAGGCACAAACTAAGCAGCAGATGTTTAACAGACAAGAGGATGATGAAGTAGTAGTCCACTCCCCTTACAGAGTCCTGATTAATCAAATTCATAACCCCCCATGTCCTGATAATGAAGAACAGGAGGCAGCAGAGCCAAGCGCACCTCCCCCTTATAAAGATACACCCAGAACTACTAGAAGTCAAGGAGAAATGCCCAAGTGGTCAAAGAAAATGGGAGGATTGTTTTCTCCCACACCCCCTCAGCTTTTGACTACTAGTGGACCTGAGGTAGAAATCTGCCCACTGATAGCACTCCCCCACCCTATGATGGGTCAAGACAACGGTGCAGGAGGAAGGTATCCAGATCAGGTACTAGTTTACCGAACATGGACCCAAGAAGATGTTAAAAAAGCGTGTGAAGGTATACCACCCCCCAAAGAAGATGTGGAACAATGCATTCAAGGTGTAAATAATCTAAGAGCCTCTTATCACCTGAATGGAGTAGAGCTGCAGCAGGTGTGGATGTGTATCATGGGCGCCACCTGGCACTTGGTCAGAGGCGACTATGATCCAAATAACAATAACCAAAACCCTCCTGCACCCCTGGCATCAGGTAGTGTCGAGCTGGAACAGAGAGCTCGAGCACAGAATGACCGTGTTAGACAAAGATACCGACAGCGAGCAGACTACACTGAAATAGGACGTTGTAGACAAAAAGACGATGAGCCATTTGATGACTATAGAGTCAGAATGACTAAAGTCTTCAGGGCCCATAGCGGACTAGTGGATAACGGTGATGAGAATGGCCCATACCAACAGCAGTTGAAGAAAGAAAAGAAAAAACCAGTGGGGGAGGGGGAAGCAATGTATTTTATAACGATGACAGCCCCCTCAAGTCAAAGCACTTTTTTTTTTAAACAGGACTAGATAGAGGGAGGATGAGAAAACTCTCCCTTCTCAGAAAACTATAAACTTTGCCATAAAAATACCTGGCATGTTAAACAAAAAAAATTATAAACATATTAATGCATTTATAGAAAGAAGAAATTTATCAAATATTGCAACATAATTTTTATATCGCCATGATAAACTGTTGTTGAGATATTTGCCTGTGAGMTAACATGTAGTGATGTCAAAGGGGAATGTCTGCATGAGAACAGAGTATTGATAAAGCAACAAGCAGCCTCTGTGGAGAACATACATGTATAGTTATTGTAAATAACAAAGTATTTACAGCCTGGGGTGAACTTAAACTTAAAAAACTTGAACAAATAGAACAGAATCACAGGATGGTTACCATTTATTACATTTTTTTTATGAAACTGATAAATTACAAGGACACCCTGTGGCTAGATAACACGTTCTGAACAATTACTAGTTTGTATCCTTTGCTCAATAAAATCAGGAAGCTAGGAGCCGTATACCACGCATACCACAGCTTCAAGGCTGTGGGAAAAAGCTAGCTCACTCCTTATCTTATAAAAAAAAGGATACTGCAAATTAATAAAAAACAAAACAGTTACTATCTATACAGATAGTCAATATGCCTTCGCAACGACTCACTCATTTGCACAATACTGGAAAAACAGAGGCATGATAACATCCACAGGGAAGCCAGTCACACATGCCCAGCTCTTAACAGAACTAATACAAGCCATCCAGCTACCACCTAAATTAGCCATATGCAAATGTTCTGCACACACAAACAACCAAGACCCTGTTAGCTTAGGCAATGCATTTGCAGACAAAACAGCTAAACAGGCAGCACAAAAACCTGTAATGATAGCAACTTTCATGCAACAACAAAATAAATTAGAGGAACAAACTCTACTAGACATGCAAAATCAAACCCCAGAACATGAAAAACAATATTGGATAAAAAAAGGAGCACAAATGAAAGAAGGAATCTACTACTGTCCAGAAAACAAACCAGCAGCAGTATTGAGCCATGGTAATACATGTCTCAACAGGAGGGATGGTAGGATTAGTATACAAACATTACACCACATATGGATTTAACACTTTTTCAAAAAACTTTTGTAGAGCATGCTTAATATGTGCAAAACACAATGCACAAGGGAATCTAAGACCAAAAAGAGGACAATTTCCTCAACCAAACTATCCTTCCAACATCTTCACATGGATTTCACTTAAAATAGCAGAAAGAAACACTTGGATCCACCTGACTCACTGCAAACTAGTGATCAAAAAAGATGAGTAAAATCACCTTCACTATCATCGCTTATTGCATGACTTTAACCCTGAGCATTGTAGAAATAGTTTTATTTTTGCTTTAAATTAAAATATCCATGTCAGTCACTAGAAGTTGCAAAGAGTGCTGAACCCCTAAATAACTGAGTAGTGGAGAAGTCTGACTT